GGGGCTCTATGTTGTTTTACATATAAAAAGGGAGGCCACACAATTACATAGGCGGCGAAAGAATTGTCAGAGGACGGTCACGATATGAGAGGAGAAAACAAAAAATCGTGAGTGAGAGCATAGAGAGAGGAGGTGCAGCACGTCCAAAAGAAGAAAAGAATAGAGGAGAATGCATGCACTAGTGAAGAACAGTGACTTTGTGACAGCTTGCCCCTGTTCTAGGCAACTTCAAGCAGCGTTTTGTGTCTAGCTCGTGTCCACGCCACGCCGCTTGCTGCTGCTCCTACACGAATCGGTTTGTCTTGCTGCCACAATACCAACTTTGGCAAGCGTAGCCCTGTTCCATCATGTCCAGTAAACCAACGACTCCTGCTGTTGTTGCGCCGCGTGATCGTCATTGCTTCTAGCCCTACGCTAACAACTTTAACGAGTCTGAGAAGCCCTGCACAGTCGCCACGTCCTTCCAGTCCTTACCGTCGCTGATCAAGAGTCCAAGCCACCGTGACAACGCCGAGACCAGCAACTTCTGCGAACGGTCCCAGCAAACTTACCAGTCCCGACGAAATCCCGCCGGTCGCTGTTGCGTTACTCTGTATCTTCACCAAACTGGGACTCTCCCTTGTTTTGTAGGTTTCACAAGAACTCCCAAGCACCGCCGAGACACCACATGGCCGAGTTCACCACGAGTAGCCAAACCGCGGCTATCCTCACCACCGCCGGTCATTGAGCTCAAGCCATCCGTCGGTCAAATTCGGAAACGTCACCTGTGCAATATTTCGAATTAGGTAATACATTATTCGATTCAATTTCGATATATTAAATTGCCTAACTTGAGTTTATTGTGATCTCAATTATATGCTGTGTCGATATTGTCATATCCAAAAATCTTTTCGGAGTCCGTAAATTGGGATATTGTCGTAATTTCACAATGTGCATATGGTCGTCAATCCGATCTCCTGCCCGAGATATGATTCGCGATTGCACGGAAAATCGTCAATCCGATCTCCCGCCCGAGATACGATTCGCGATTGCATTGAAAATTGGCCAATCCGATCCTCATGCCCGAGATGTGATTTGTCAATTTATTTTTCAAATTTGAATGGATATGGATGATATCTTGGGTGATTGGATGCTATTTTTGGCTTTGGTTTGAATCTTTGTTTTGATTTGATTCGAAAATCTCAAAAAGAAGAATGCATGTTTTGGATAGGTTTAGAATAACTTTCTTTGAATAAGTCGATAGGATAACTTTTTAATTTAAATTAGGAATTAGAGTAATTTATTTCCTAGTTTAATTTAGATATTATCCTGATCTCGATGGTTCATTTTAGGGTAATTCTTGATTTCGAATTTTCATAAAAATACCAAAAAGAAGTCACTTTAGGATAGATTAAATTATTTTTTTTAGAATAGATTGCATGTTAATTTAGGCATTTTTTTAATTCCGAATTTCATTGGAAAAATACCAAAAATAAATCATTTGTCCGTCATTAAAATTAGGTCACGTCGTTGCATGACATATAGTTTGCATGCTAGGTTGCATTAATCGCATGTCATTTTTTTGCACGTCATTGCATATAGGTTAGTTTGCATTTTAATAAAGCGCAAATCCTAAAGAACATCTCGAGTGCTTTGTTTTGTTAATTAGAAATCATATTAGGATTATCCGTATGATTTTCTATTAACAATGCAGATGCTTGCGTTGCATTAAGGTACGTCATTCTCCTAATCTTGCAATTTATTTATTGCTTTCTTGGGTGTTAAATTGGTGGTTTGCGCACCCGCATGAACACCTCACATGTTAGAGATTAGGTAATAAAATGGATCCAGACTGCCTGCATAAACATTTTTGAAAAGAAAAGGTACCAAAAGGGCGTTAGACTAGATCTAGCGTAACCAAGTCCCCGAGCTTAGAATCTCTGGTTCGTAGGAATAAAACATATCTCCCTATGTTTTATTTAGGTTTCTAATCGACTTACCACAAATAGATTAGTGGCAACTCTAAGCATGAAAACTTTTGCATGTTAAAAACTTAAACCCTAAGTTGCGAATTGGTAGGGCTTGGGAGGGCCCGGGTTAGGCTTAGTCTCAATAATCCATTAGCCTGAGAAATTTTAGGTCGCGACAGTAGACTTATGGGACAAAATTGATTAAAGGTGTGTGCGCTAGCATTATGAGTTTTTGGTATTAGTACCAAATGATTAACATGATGGGGCAATTCACCTGTGTTAAAGAAGTGTTGTACAAAGTGGATGACTTGGGCCTTCACCACTTCTCAACATTTGGGTAGAAAAATGGTATGGGATCCGTTCAAGCAAGGTGATTTAAGAGGGTCCATCTCTTTCAAGATGCTATGTATTTCATCCATTGTTGGATCACCAAAAGATCCAAGTTTTCTTCTTCAGAAACAACACTAGGGAAGAGTGTCCCAACGAGAGGATGCGGATCAAGTGAAAATCCCCAGAAAAGAAAAGCTCTGTATACTTGGATCAAAAGATGCTTTATTAATCTCTTCCTTATTCATAATCCCTCTGCCAACATCTTCCTTAACTGTAAGGATATCATTTTCCCTGTCTCCCTGTGGTAGATAGGTGGAAAAACTTCGTATCCATGTGGAGCCCATAAGTTCTTATATGAATAAGTGTCCATATCCTAAGAAACTATTTGTATGATTAATTTTCTAGCCTTATTCCGAAAGAAAATCAATGTCATAAAAAGGCCTTGTGACGTATTGGATGATGCAAAACTAAGTTCTAAAGGGAAAAGTACCATAAAAGTTATAAACCTGTTACATTAGTACCAATTCAGTCTTAAACCTGTCAATTGAACTAATTTAGTCATAAACATTTTCGAATTGATATTAATTCAGTCTATCCAGCTAATTTAGGCCGAAAATCGTTGACGTGGATGCCAGCGGTCCTACATGGCACGTCGACACTGACGTGAACAAATTTTATAATTTTTAAATAATTTTTTCAGATTTTTTAAATATAAATTTTTTCTCTTTATTCTTTTTATGTACACTATTGGCCGACGAGGTCGCTGGCCAACCATCGTTGGCCATAAGTGAGGACCGGCGACCCTCGCTTGGTCTGGACGAGGGTCATTGGTCAACCATCGACGGCCATAGGCAAGGGCCGCCGCACCCTCGCCGGCCACAAGCGAGGGCGTCAGGGCCTCGCCCAAATCCAAGTGAGGGCTACGATTCCCTCCCCTACCACGAGCGAGGGCCTTCACCTATGGCCGATCTGGACGAGGGTGTCGCAGCCCTTGCCGGCCAACAAACGAGGGTTCAGCCCTTGCTTGAATCTGGGCGAGGGCACAGCGGCCCTCACCTGTGGCCGGTGAGGGCACGGAGGCCCTTACCTAGACCAACCTATGGCCGACGATGGTCGGCCGGCGACCTCGCCTGTCAACAGTGTACAGAAAAAGAACAAAAAACATTAAAATAATGAAAAATTATTAAAGAATTATAAAATTGCATTATTTAATAAAGAAATAATTCAAGTATACAATATAAATATTTTTTGGTACCGAAGGCGATAGCTCCCTTGGTCCGCCATTATACGAGGAGTTGTGAAGTGGTTGTTAAACATTATATGAAAGGTTAATTGCCCTTTCAAGCTTAGTGAGAACTGCATAGAATACTCTCTTCTTAATCAAACAATTAATGTAAATTTGCTTTCGAATTAACTTTACGTAAACAGATCATGCGAACGGTTTTCTTTTAGAACCATTTTCAACGCCACTATATACATAATTATCTAATTATATAACTCAACAGGTAACGGGGGTAGCTCGTAATATTTTTACACAAATATATCATGTGAAAAATACTTTTCTTATTAATTAGTTTGATTTCCTAATCCTAGACGGCTCTATGGCTGCAATATTTTGAAAATTTATTGGAACAAGAGATGGTTTGACCGTGACCCATCAACGTAAGCAGATGCGCAACGGCTCCACAGTCTCCACGGGTTGTTGGATACTCTAAGGTTCGCATCACCCAGTACGTCACAAGTCTTTTTTATGACGTCACTCACACACCGATGAATATCGAGAAGCTAGTAATATTATGGCCAAATTACATTATACATGAGATAAAAGTCCAAGAAAATGACATGTGCTACCTAGGATACCTACTATAGTATTTTTTTTTGTTGCTAAATGGGAATATAAACTAAATAAACCTTATTGTTGAGCAGAAATGCAACTGTAACATGTAGGATTGTTGTTGATGTATGGGTTTACAAAGCCAAGCGAGAGTCACCCGGTTTCCTACTCTACTGTCGGGGAAAATTATCCAAAAAAATCCTAAACTTTTTAATTTTGCCAATTTAGTCCCGAACATTTTGAATATTTACCAATGCAAGCCTTAATCACTGATACGGATGCTGGCCATCTTACGTGGCACAGTCAGCGTTGACATGGACAATTTTTGCAATTTTTAAAATAATATTTATGATTTTTTTATTTTTTATTTTTTTCTTTTCTTTTTTTATTGTGAACCGTGCGACCCTCGCCAAGTCACAATGCCCCCACTGGCCAATGCCGACGCTGTGGGCTGCAGATCGATGGAGCCCGGAGGGAAATAAGAAAAAATAGGGGAAAAAAAGAAAAAAATTTAAAAAATTTGTAAAAATTGTCATCATCTTCTTTTGGTGATAAACAATAGTCGCACTAGCAATGAAATAATAAGATGGAGAGCCTTTAAGATCAAAGGACGTAAGGATGTTCTCCGCAGGACATTCTCGTGACATACTGGGTGATGCAAATCGCCGAGGATATGATTGCATCTTCAGGACAGAAGGAAAACAAATCGCAATGCCCGTGACGTACTGGGTGATGCAAACCTTAGAGTATCCAACAGCTCAATACATGTCTGCTTACGTGATGGGTCATGGTCAATCGCATTTTGACTGATAACAATCTGAATTTTCCTTTCTTTATCCTCGTCACCTAAACTCCTATATATATGCACGAAGTTTGAAGATCACGAGACCAGAAAATACAGCAAGTAGCAACAAGAAGACATCATCTGAAAATGGCCGGGGTTCAGATTCCGCGAGTGAAACTCGGAACTCAGGGTCTTGAGGTTTGTATTGAAACTACTTCTTAGCTCGTTGAATTTAATGGTGTGCGTACAGGATCAGAATTTCATCGCATCGTTTCATTGCTTGGGGTTGATTAAATTCTTGTGGATTCATTTAAGCTGCTTCATGCCGAGATGTATGAGTTGTCATTTCCTCTTCTTCTGTTGTTTTCAAATACTTGCAGGTTTCGAAGTTGGGTTTTGGCTGCATGGGACTCACAGGTATTTACAATGATCCAGTCCCGGAGGAAGTCGGCATATCGATCATCACCGACGCGTTCGCCAAGGGGATAACATTCTTCGACACGTCGGATATATATGGACCCAAAATCAATGAGATTCTTGTTGGAAAGGTAATGTGAAAAAACCGAAACACACAAAACCGGTAATTTCGTCTGTTAGCTGATACATTTTAGTTATATGGATATTAGAAAAACTTGGTGATATCATTGTCGCAGGCATTGAAGAAGTTGCCACGGGAGGAAGCGCAGCTAGCAACCAAATTCGGTGTGGTGAAACTCGAAGCGGACAATGTCGTGATCAAGGGGACGCCTGAATACGTCCGCTCGTGTTGTGAGTCGAGCCTCAAGCGCCTAGGTGTCGAATACATTGACCTCTATTACGTGCATCGGATTGACACAACAGTCCCGATAGAGGAAACTGTAAGTTCGTTTAGCAACTTTTCCTGCTCGTGGATGATTGCCAATGCTCTATACTGGCTTTAGCGATCAGCAATTAATAAAACCAAATTGCTTTAAAAAAACATAGATGGGGGAACTGAAGAAGTTGGTGGAAGAGGGAAAAGTGAAGTATATTGGCTTGTCGGAGGCTAGCCCCGACACCATACGGAGAGCGCACGCGGTTTATCCCATCACGGCCTTACAGATGGAGTGGTCGCTCTGGACTCGCGAAATCGAGCAAGAAATCGTCCCGCTCTGCAGGTATATTGCTGTTCACCTCCATTGAAGTAGACTTCAAATTCTTTCCCAAGTTGTTCTCCAAAAACAGCCTTTTCCCTTTGTAAGTTGTTTTGTTTTCTAATCTTTTGGCCCCCCTCTCGAAATTTTCAGGGAGCTCGGAATCGGCATCGTTCCATATAGCCCTCTCGGTCGTGGGTTCTTCGGTGGCAAGGGAGTCACAGAAACTGTGCCCGCAAATAGTTCTCTGGTATGTTAACAGTTAATGGGTTCTTTCTTTGATGTTTCACAGCACATACACGATGGTTTAAAAGCTTCTTCGCTAATCCTCGCTAATTTTTCCCCTCATTTCTCAGAGAAATTTTCCTAGGTTTCAAGCGGGGAATTTGGACAAAAACAAGGTTCTTTACGCTCGAATGGAGAAGTTAGCGAAAAAGCACAATTGCACCCCTATACAGCTTGCACTTGCATGGGTTCTCCATCAAGGAGATGATGTTGTGCCCATCCCTGGTGAGGATCGAACTTTTATGACAATCATTGACAGATGACATGTATTGGGATTTCTGTTTTGAAATCATGCGGTTTCTGCAGGAACGACGAAAATTAAGAATCTCGATGATAACATTGGTTCCTTGAGGGTGAAGCTTACAGAGGAAGACGTGAAAGAGATCTCAGATGCTGTACCGATTGATGACATTGCCGGCGATAGGATCAATGAGCACTATGTCCGCTGCTCGTGGAAGTACGCGAACACTCCCCTGAGAGATGGGAAACCGTCAGCTTATTAGATGTCTTTTGAGTGTGTTGATGAAGCATTGTTTGTATCTCTGCTCTCGTTTGCTCCTTGTAACTGCGGTCAGATAATAAAACTCAGAATAGCTTAAATAAGAATAAAATCAAACATGGAAATTCTAAGTTATTGGCTTCTTTAGTGCTCGTGAAGCATTTGTCTGCTGGTTTTTCTGCTCTGATATAATAACGTGCCAGAAATCAAAATGTCAACGACATATATTCATTCTACTGTACAGACAATGAAAATTCCATCAAAAAAAAAAGAAAAAGAGCAGACAATGAAATTAAAACCGCCTAGACTAAGTTGCGGATTCTCTCTCTCTCTCTCTCTCTCTGGCGTAGCAGCTCGATATGGATGCCTCCAATGGCCTTCTCTAACTCTAGCTGGTAAAGTTTGCTGGACGACAGCACGAGCCCTGCAACTGCTTGCATCCGAAAAATACATGCCACACTTACTGTTAGTTGACCGAAATTATCATTTCCCCGGCGTTGTCATGTAAAACATGTTTCTTTTCTACACCTCTTCAATTGAAGTACACACGTACTTTTTTTCTGTCTTGTCTATTCTTAACGCACTTGTTGACATCTAAATTTTAACTAGTCATTTAGGAACAATTGCATAGAAAATTAGGGATTAATTTTTTAACCCCTAAACAAAAAATATAATTAGATGGTATTGCATATAGATATTAGGAGCATTCCATTAATAGTTAATTAGGCCCGTATAGTTTGCATATTTATCAGACCGACGGTGGATGGACTCGAGTGAACGGTTCTGAACTTAATGAAATTGGACTAAGCCCGCGTTCAAGAAAATTCTTGGCCAAGCCCATGAACATTATAAGAGCTAAAATTTTCATTGGAAATTGTCGAGTTGGAAAATATTGATTTGTTAATCTTGATATTATCATTGAATGAATTGACATTATCACAGAGATATTGCAATATTTTCTTTGAATCAAAATAGGAAATAATTGCAAGCAAAAAACCTAAGTTTTGCCTATAAATGCATTCATTGAGGATTCTCTCGGGGGGGCCACACAATTTTATACACGGCCAGGGAGAGAGTCATCCGTGAGAGGAAGAGAGCGAGCACATTCAGAGAGCTTCACAAAGAGCAGCAAAGAAGAGGACAAAGGAGGGGAAGAAGACAACAAGAGAGTGAGGGCCAAGCAGTGGATGTCCCGATCAGAAAGACTTTCGCTAAGGATTGAGAGGAAAAGAACGTGACCTGAAGGAGTTTCTTCCCGACACCGTGACCCAGATCCAGTAACTTTCTTACCCGCAGCCTCGCTGCTCTGGTTGACGCCCGGTCGCTCCCCGACGAGTTTCCGAGCAGTTTATTGCCCTGCGCTTTTGTGGCTATTTCTCGTCGTGAACACTACCATTGCGAGTCTTCTTTTGGCCGCCCATTAGCAATCAGTCCAGCAAGTCTATTGTCGGTCCAGTCCTCGTTTGTTCTTTCACGGCAGATTTTCTGACATCCACCAAGATTCACGCAAAAAGCTATCCCATGCACAAGTGTGCTCTCTGGATGACACATCTGGCATCATCACCGCATGCACTTCTTCACGGGACGAGGATGGCGACATTGGTGATCCGTGAAGCCATACCGACGTGGCGAAGTTCGCGCATCCCCGACGTGCTTGTCCGACATACCACCACCACGAGCTGAGCCGCTCCCCGTCGAACTGCCGCCGCTGTCACCGCCGGTCTGTCGCCGTTGGCCAGCACGCGTTCTGCGATCCGCAAGCCTCAATCCGGAACCGAGTTTGAATTTGGAAGATATCCGCAAATTAGGTAAGATCATTATCCGAATATTTTCCGAAATATTTACTTTCCTAAGTTTTCGGTGTTTGAATATTTCGTGGATATTCTTTGGTGGATTGCTAAATCTTAGAGATATTGTTTGCTCTATCCGCAATATTCGAAAACACCCACAATTGGGAATCATTCGGCAACGTATCTAGACGACTATCCGACCTTATCCTTAAGGTACGATACACGGCGATACGGAAAATCGTTATTTTATCCATAATCACTTGGATACGATAATAGATTTTATTTGCTTTCCAAATTTTAATAATCAACTTTCTGTCGATATCTATAACTCTATAGATATGACCGTTAGTTTGATTTCTTTGCCTTATCTGAATTTGAAGAATCTTGCGGATTGCGTGGATTGTTTGAATGTGCTTGTCATCTTTGTTTGATTGTTTTTTTTTAAATAAAGAAAATCCAAAACATGTTAGTTAGGATTTAAATTAGAAGTTTTGCATGTTTAGGGAATCCTAAATGTATCTAGAAGATAGGATAATTATTTAATTTAAATTAGGACTTAAGACAATTTATTTCCTAGTTTAAATTAGGTGTTATTCTAATCCTAATAGATTATTTACGTTATTTTTAAATTCCGAATTTCCATGAAAATCCCAAAAAGAATGAGTTACTTTAGTACAGATTAAGATAGATTGCATGTTAATTTGAGTAATTTTTTAATTCCGAATTTCATTTGAAAATACCAAAAATAAATCATTTGTCCGTCATTAGAATTAGGTCACGTCGTCGCATGACATATAGTTTGCATGTTAGGCTGCATTAATCACATGTTAATTTTTGCACGTCATTACATATAGATTAGCTTTCATTTAAATAAGTGAAAATCCTAAAAAATATTGAGTGAACTGCTTGTTAATTAGAAATCATATTAGAATTGTTAATGTGATTTTCTAGTTAACAATGCAGATGCTTACGCTGCTTCGAGGTAAGTAATTCTCCCAATCTTGCAATTTATTTAATGTTTTGATTATTGGGTGTTACTTTGGTGGTTTGCGCACCCGCATGATCACCTCACATGCTAGTGACTAAGTTAAAATGGATCCAGACTGCATGCATAAATATTTTTTAAAAGAAAAGGTACCGAAAGGGTGTTAGACTAGATCTAGCGTAATCAAGTCCCCGAGCTTAGAATCTCTAGTTCGTAGGAATAAAACATATCTCCCTATGTTTTATTTAGGTTTCTAATCGACCTACCACAAATAGATTAGTGGCGACTCCAAGCATGAAAACTTTTGCATGTTAAAAACTTAAACCCTGAGTTGCGAATTGGTAGGGCTTGGGAAGGCCCGAGTTAGGCTTAGTCTTAATAATCCATTAGCCTGAGAAATTTTAGGTCGCGACAACACTCAATGTTTCAATGGGCTCATAATTCCTTATTCCGGAAAACAGTACATGTTCCCTCACATATTCTTAGTACAAAGCAAGCACATGAAATTCCCTCGTTTTATGTTCAAGCTAGTTTGTGAATTGTGATACTTTCTGGCCTCGGTCACATACAGGCATAAATGCAAGAGAGCCAAAACAACGCCTCACGTTCTACACAGAACAAGTCGTAAGCTGGAAAATTGCCGTCTCTCGGGGGCACATTCGCATTATTCCACTTGGTAGCGAGCATAGCGCTCATTTATCCAACTCCCGGCAACCTCATCAATACGATGACACCCGAGATTTCTTTCAAATCATCCTCCATGAGCTTCACTCTCAAGGAACCAATGTTATTGTCCAAATTGGTACAACTGTGACAGATTTACACCGAACTAATTTTTTGACCATCAAAAACCGCAAACCGGTATACTTGTGACAAATTTACCCTAAACTAATTTTTGAACCACCAAAAACCCCAAACCAGTATACTTGTGACAAATTTACCATCCATAAAATTGGATTAATACCACGAAAATCACAAATTGGTAAACTTGGGTGAATGTGGAGTTCAGTTAGGCCATTCGTCTAGTCAACAGCCATTTAGGAAGATGTCCGTGATGTGGCTCCACAATCTCTTCGAGATTAGGTCGCTCTTCTCATCCGATTTAGATTTAGGTATAGATTTAGGGTTTTACTCTTCCAATTTAGATTGAGGTTTAAGTCTGGGAGTTCATTATAGGTATTTGATATGTGTTTTTTCAACATATTGATGTTGGTATCTCTGCATAGCGATGGTGATGGGGACGTTGAATCTAGACGCGGATCGCAAGTCGTTGCAAACGAAGTGGGGGATCTCGGCGTGTGCTCATCACTGAATCTGGTGATCGCCGCCGAACGTTTACGGTGACAGATCTGTTCTTGAGGAATGAGAGTGTGCTTTTAGCTACAGACTGTACTTTGTGCTTTGTTATTTGCGTTCTAGTATTTGCTTTGTTCCGCAGTTGTTTGGGATTGCTAGGCTTTTATGCCTTCTATGTACCTCTCAGATATTATTATGATGAATGGAACCTTTCTTTCGACCAAAAAAAAAAATGTTATATGTCACCCAATTCAGTAATTTGACGGTAAACTTTAACAGAAACCAACAAAGGGAAAATTTGTCACAGATGTACCGGCTTGGGGTTTTTGAAGGTCAAAAAATTAGTTTGGAGTAAATTTATCTCAGGAGTACTAGTTCAGGGTTTTTTGTGGTATTAACTTTTTTTTTAATCAAGGCATGTCTAAAATAGAGCAGTTACATACTAGAAAATTGTTTGGCCCCTTGCCACCAAAGAACCCATGGCCAAGAGGACTGTAAGGAACAATGCTGATATCGAGTTCCCTTCGACATTCAACAAGCCGACCAAAAAAAGAACCCCTGTAATTAAGTCCAGCTTATTATCACGTTGTTGGTAAAGTAGCCAACGGTACACATTATGAAGTTTAAAAGTCCGAAATGTGGTGTATAGAGTTTCCTATGTTCTTATTTGTTTTTGGTTCTGAAAGTTACACAACAATACGATGTAACTACAAGCAAAGTGGGACGATCTCTTGCTCGATGTCACAAGTCCCGAAGGACCACTCCATTTGTAAGGCCGTAATGGGATGGACTGCGTGTGATGTTGGCTAGCAATATCACCTAGAGGGGGAGTGAATATGTGATATTAAGAAACTTGGCAAATATTGTAGAATTAAGATAGTCGAGTTTAATACAAGTTGAACTTGGTGAGATAGTGCAGATAGTGATATGATCGGAGAGAAAGAGAACAATGCACATAAAGATTATAGTGGTTCGACTTGGTGTAAGTCTACGTCCACTCTTCAATATGAATAGCATACTAGCTGAATTCCACTAGAAATTATCTTGAAGTTACAATGGAATGTGCCACTTATATTTAAGCACTTCTCCTTGAAACCGGTGCTGCTTATGCCCAAACTGATAGATTTCACTATCTCACATCTCAGCACAAACTATATCATGCCAACGCTTCTCAAAAGAATACAAATTTAATTCTCTCAGAAGGCAAATGTA